GAGCTGGGGAGATGGCTCAGCAGAATAAGCACTTCCCTGGCAAGCGCAAGGGCCTGAATTCAATCCCTGGTTCCACCAAAAAAAAAAAAAAAAAAAAAAAGATTCCCATCTCAGTTCCCCCAATATTCAGGGAGGTGTGACAGCTGTCAGTCAATCAGCTGACCTGCTACCATGACAGCCGGATTGTCCTAGATGCCCATTCATTTGAACCAAGCACAGCCTGCACTCAGACCACTCACAAGGCCCAACTTTGAACCAATCACAGACTTACACGTGAGCCAATCACAGGTCTGCAGCTGCCATGTAAGCAGCCTCTCCTCCCACTTCCTGGTTAGTTTAGGAGGGCTCTGTGCAGTGTGCTAAGCCCCCGTGTTCCTGCATAGGTCCTCCTAAAATAAAAACTCACTCCGGCGGTCTTGCAATCACTTACGATTTATTTCTCAGGCAGCCTGGCCTCAGCAGGCCCTACGAAGATCCCTGAGTAGTGTGTACATAACAGTCACTTTGAAAGAAAGAGTAAGCACCTCCAGGGAACATCAGCGTAAAGCTTCTCCGTGGTAGGTTACTGCCTCGAAGCCAGCCAGCCACTGACCGAATTCTCTAAAACTGTGAGCCCAGCTCAAGCTCTCCTCCTTTAACCTGTGGAAGGCAGCCATTGTGTACAGCGTTGGGACAGCTGAGAGGCCTGGGAAGCCCTTTCCCTCCTGAATGCATGGTCTTCACTGAGCCGGTGGCCAGGGGGCTGGCCCTGTGTGTTGGCGCGGCCCATAGAACGACTTTGTGATCTAATCCACATCCCTAGCAGCGGACTGTGTGGGCCTGGGCCTTCTGTTCACACACACATGGAGAGCAGGACCCTGTGGCAGTGGACATCGGCGGAGCCAGCCAGGGGACCAACTCTGCAGAGCCCAGGTGAGGACCCCAGTCACCCACACACAGCCCCACACAAGCGTGAGGGGCCAAGTCAGTGTGACACCAGCACACAAGGCCCAGGAAGGCTGGAGAGTGTGCCTGCTGCCAGCACCATGGCTGGGTGGCGCAGGGACTGCAGGGGTCGAGGTCCAGTCTGGGCAGGTGACATCTCCCAAGACAAGCCCTGGGCTTAGCTGCAGCACTAACCTCTTCCCATGCGCAGAAGATTGTGTTCCTGAGGTACACACGAACCCCATAACCCCAGCAGTCATTTGAGGGTGCTGGTCTCCCAGCCAGGGCGCAAGCAGTGGGCAGTTACCTGGGCATTTGTGAGACCTTTAATGACATCACCCACAGGCAGAAGATGCCATTAAAAGATAAAATGGGCTCTTTGCTGAAACGGAAGAAAAAGCAGGGTCTAACTGTAGTAATGCTCCAGAAAAGCACCCCTCAAATAGTGTTCACTTAGGAGACAGGGAGGAAGCCTGGCCTAGCTGTGAGGCTCGGCTCAGGAGGTGGGGCCAGGCTGAAGGGGCATGGCCACTGGAGGTGCTGAGGGGAAGGCGTTTCTTGTCCTTGGCCTCTTCTCCTCTCTCCCTCTTCTTCTCTCCTCTCTGCCCTCTCCGTCTTCCCGTCTTTCCTGGCTGCCATGAGGTGAGGAGCCCTCCTCAGCCGCCTGCCTGCCATGTTTCTGCCTGGTCACTGACCGCAGGCAGCGGGGCTGGCTGACCATGACCATGAACTTCTGAAGCCTCCGAAGTGTCTGAAACCCTGAGCCAAAATAAACCTCTGTTCCTCTAGGTCACTCTTCTCAGATGTTTTGTCACAGCAACTGGCAGGACCAGAGCTCTGGCCCTGTGTTCAGACTGACACACTGGGTAGAACCAGACCAGAAACCTTTCCCAGTTCTTCTGGAGGAGGGCATGGAAGCGCAGCCAGGCGTGGTGGTCCCTGGGGCCCTGCCCTGAGGCTGCTGGGAAACCAGCCTTGGCTCAGTGTGAGGGGCTTTCTTACAGGAACGGGGCTGCCCCAAGATCAAGCTGGCCTCGACAGGTGCTTCTCAGTTAGAAACAAGGCTGGCCTCATGGCTCAGTGCTGTGTCCCCTGAAGGTCCAGATGCCACAGCAGGTGGATCACAGGCTACTTGAGACTTGCTGAGGGTAAGGCTTGGCCAATCCGTGAGACAGGTGAGCAAACTGCGCTCCTGAATTCCAAGCCCACACCCAGCAGGCCCAGGGCAGAGCCGGGGAGGTGGCGTGTCCTAAGGGACACTCCCGGGGACAGAGCTTGCTGTAGGACGGAGCCTTCTGCCCAGGTATGTGGCAGCAGAGACAGGGTCACGTGGGCACATTCTCAGGGAACAGGGGCTCCTCGCCCCCAGGTGCGGAGGTCATCAGAGACTGGCCTGGAGGCCAGCACCCTGTCCCCTGCCCTCATGCAGCCAGGGAAGTGGGAGGCGCTCCTGAGAGAACTAGGCACCAACCCCCCAGGCCCGCCCTGTGCGTGGCACTGGCTCCAGGCATGGGCAGGAGGTGTGTGCCCAGGCACAGAGCTAGCAGAGGCTCCTGAGGTCCCAGTGGCCAGGCAGGCGGCGCAGCCTCATATCCTTCCAGATGTGCTCATAGCAGGACTGGGGAGAGAGATGAGGCTGGGCCACTGCACTGGTGCCCGTGCAGCCGCAGCCCAGGAGGCAAGAGGCAGCCCTCCCCACTGGGCCTGGGACGCAGTCTGAGGTCCCCAGGGTGGTGTCCCCAGCTCCCGAGCAAGGCTCACCTCCAGGGCTGTGAGCATGAAGTCGTAGAGGCCACTCGTGTGCACGGGGTCCATCATGTCCCGGATCAGGTGGATCTCGGCCCCCAGATGCTGGATTCTGGAGAACATCCCGCCCCCAAGATAGTGAGAGAGAGCAGAGAGGGTCCCTGGGGGCGGAGCCATGCAGGGGAGGAGGGCTAGTGTGGCCCTTGCTGCGTCTCTGGCACCCATGGGGCCCTGGAGGTGGGGCTCCTCTCTGGGCCGCAGCTTCCCCGCCTGTCCTGGCCCCAGCGTCCACAGATTTCAGGGACAGTGGCTGGAGGTGAGGGGTCCTCACCGTGCCCGTGACACCACATAGAGGAGCAGCGGCAGCAGGTCATCCATGGGCAGCTTGTGTTCCCGGCCCAGCACATGGGACACCGTGGCCTCGATCTCGCGGCACGTCTTCTCCAGCATGCCCAGCTTCTCCCGGGGGTCCACAGTGGTGCTGCAGCAGTTGCTAGCTCCTGGTTATGGCCTGAGGGTGCTTCCGCCGCCCCCCACCCACAGCCACCCACACCACCGAGCCATACCCTATTCACCCCCCAGAGGACTCACATGATCTTCTGTAGGCACTCGATGGCTGACAGGAAACATTTGTCCCTGACCAGGGAGCTCCGCTGGGGGAGGGGCAGGGTGAGCTCAGGCCCCAGCGCCAAGCCCTCTGCTGCCCACCTCTCCACCATGGTGGACACAGCACGGCTGTGCAGAGGACAGAGTGACCCTGGCTACACTGTGGGCTTTGCTCCAGGCAACTATGACGGGGCAGCTGGGCTCTGGGCTGGGGATCCGGTAGTCACAGTGACAGCTGGATGGCCTGGGGCCCTGACGCTCACCTGATTGCTGGTCAGCTGGAGGTCCTTGAGAGGCCACAGGTGCCTAGAACGGGAGATGGAGTTCAGGGGATACAACACTCTCCACGGCTCCAGGGGCGAGGTGCTCACGGAGCACAGGCAGCTGGAAGAAACGGCCCCGCCGCCAGAAGACTCCTGAGGAAGTGGTCCTCCAGCGCCATGTGACAGACAAGGCCCACGGGGGCAGGAGGGGGGCTGCACAGCCCGTGGGGTCAGGGGCGAGTCAGTCACAGGTGGACACACCAGCGTGGCCAGGGAGAAAGGCTATTCCTCAGTGGTGGGTGACGTGGCAGTTCACATCTGCTATCCCAGTACTTGGGAGGCTGAGGCAGGAAGATCACTGAAAGCCCAAGCCAGCCTGGGCTATAGAAAGCTCAAGGCCAGGCTGAACTGCAGAGCAAGGAGGACTTGTCTCAGAAAAAATAAAGAAGGAGCCTCCTGTCCCTACTCACCGTCCAAGTGCCCAGCACCTGGTCAGTGATGGCTGCATTCAGGGGGAGCCCAAGGACCCAGGCCAAGCCAGTAAAGGACTTGAGGGACCCCACTGACACTGCTGGGGAGGAAATGCCAGCACCCCTGAGGCTGCAGGCACCTGGACTAGGGAGGCTCTGATCTTAAAGCAGTTGCTATAACATTTGCCATCACAAGGGGGAGCCAGAAGACGACCAAAGAGAGACCAGTGCTTGGCTTTGTGGGCACCTAGATCCAGCCACACCTGCAGACCGAGGACCCTTCCCGAGTTTCACTGAAGACGGAGCGGCCCTGGCAAAGATGGCAGGAGAGGCTCACTTGTGCACGTCCAGGAACTCCAGCAGCTTGGTGTCAGGAAACAGGCTGAGGTTGGTGATGCCCTGGCTGTAGAGAGCATCCTCCCTCTCGTGCAGAAGCAGGTAGAGGGTGAAGAGCTCTGAGTAGAAGCTGGGCAGCACAAGGGGCAGCATCAGTCCATGCACCTGCATGTCCCTGAGAGAGACGGGGACAGGTTGGGGCCAGCAGCCCGGGCCAGGCACTGTGCACAGTCCACTCCTGGCTTGCTCACAAGACAGAGCTCACATGTCTTCGCAGTGTTTGCACCAGCCCTGCCCCGTGCCCCCTCTCCTACTCAGGGAGGCCCCAGGGAGGTGGCCAGGTGGTCACCTTATCTCTGTGTCTTCAGACTCCTCCTCTGGGGCCCGGCCCTTGCGCTGTAAGGCCACCTGCAGCAGACCCCTGTTACAAGAGAAAATAACAGCCTGCTGCCACCTGCAGGCAGGAGCAGCCTCTCCCAGAGCACGCGGAGTTAGGACATAGGGCTGGAGCCATGGGATGTGGGCCCAGGCGCACACTCAGCCCAGCAGCGGGGTCTGCAGCACTTGACTTCTATCTATGGTGACCACAGGGTCACAGCCTGGCCTGCAGCTGTTCTAAGTCCCCAGGGCCTAGGATGGCCTGGGCCACTGGCCCAGAGCTGCCATTGGCCCTGGCTTTGTCTCTGTCGCCTGCGCTGGCAGCCACTTGCTGGCCACCTTCTGGCCCCCTGCTGAATGGCCATGCTGGAGGAGCCACCCCTCAGGCACCAGGGACAAAGATGGTGAGGAGGGCTCCCGGAAGGGCTCACCTATAGGCAGCCCAGAGCTCGCGGGCATGCTGTTTCACCTCCTCCTGCGCCAGCCCCTGCAGGTGCTTATTGGCCCCAAGGCCTGTGTAGGTGGCCTGGAAGGTCAGCATCAGGGTACGGAGCAGCTTCCCCAGTGGGTGCCTTGCAGATCTCAGAGCCTGGGCCAAGGGTGAAGGTGACAGGACACTCAGCGACCGCCCACTCCCCAGCAGGGTTGGCTTCCTGAGCGGGCCAGGACCTCACCTTCCGGAGGTACTGCTGCAGGGCTGCGGGCTCCCGGTACCACAGCAGCTCATCCAGGATGTCCTCCATCCTTCCTGCCTCGTCCTCTGGGCAGTTCCTGGGGGGGGCACAGGCACTGCGTTGTCCCTCACCCACACCCGGGCCCACCGCGCCCGGGGACCTGCAGGCCCTCACACCCATCTGCCTCACCTCACACAGCTCAGATAGTGCTGGTCCCGGCGCAGCTCCCGTCGGCTCTGTGCATGGAAACCCAGCAGGGCCTCCTGCAGCTCTCCGGGGCAGCCGGCCAGCACAAAGTCCTGGAAGGGGCGGTAGACGCCTAGCCAGCGGCTCTCCACGGGGAAGGCGCCCACACCCAGCTGCCTGTCCCGGAACAGTGAGAGGTGGTGAGGTGAACTGCAGGCCCTGACCTGGCCCTGGAGAGGCCAGACCTGGGAAAAGGGGTGGACGGCGGCATGCACATGGGGTGGCCTTGACAAAAGAGGCCAAGAGAACAAGCTGTGTGACACAGGATCCCAGAATTCCAGGAAGAGGAGACCAAGGACTGGGGCCAAGTCCCAGGGGCAGCAGTCTTGGCACCAGAGAGCCCAGTGCTGAAGCCCTGGAGACCTCTGGCCAGCAGCGGATCGGGCCCTGGATGAAGCCTGGCTGTGCTTTTGTCCAGAGGGCAGCACGGCACCCCTGTGCCCCACCGGCATCTCCAAGGAACCCCTGTCCAGTCCAGTGCCTGCTGCCTGGGAGAAGCCTCGTGCAGGGACCCCAGGTCAGCCAGATGCTGGCCACTCTTCACGTCTGAACACTGCCCTCCCTGGAGTCCCCTCCAAAAGGGACGGGGCCTCCAGAAGGAAGAACTCTGTCCTCACAGGGGAGAAAAATGTCTGTCTGCCTCTGAAGTACTGCTGCATGGTGACACAGTGCAGTAGGCAAATCCCCTTCTCCACCTGGGCTGCCAGGGAGTGAGCGTTGGGCACTGCGCAGCCATGGCCACCGCAGGGCCTGTCTGTCTCTTCCGTCTAAAATCAACCGCGACATCCTTTGCTTTGCCCTCTTCCTGGGCGTGTCTGGTCCGTAAAGGGTCACACACCCCTTTTACAGCAGACCCTAGGGTCTAGGCCCAGCCCAGCCCTCCTGTCTGCCATAGGTCTGAGGCATGCACGGCTACCCCTGCCTGAGCCTCTTGTGCCCTGGCTCCCGGGCTCTCAGCAACGGCCGGCACCTCCACGGAGCCCTGGCACAGCCAGGCCAGGCAGCTGCACTCACCTCTTGCGGGTGCTGCTGGGGTCGGGTGGGAGGGCAGCCGTGTCCAGCACCCCCTGGGTGTATAGCCCTCTCCCTGTCCCACTGCCAAATGAGCCCTCCAGGGTGAAGCCGGTGGAGAAGGTGATCTTGCCCTGGACAGAGGTGGGGGACCGAAGCAGGGCTATGTGTCCAGATGCCTGGCAGTCCCTCGATGCCTTCAGAACTGGCCATCCAGGCCCGACTGGCTGAGGATGAACAGGCCCTCCCCTGCCCCCCTTCTGAGCAAGAGATGGATGGAGCTGGGAATGAGCAGGAGAACCAGGCAGGGGGTGGAGGGCAGTGACCCCAGGGACTGCTCCCCAGCAGTGGGCGGGTCACTGAGGAGATGTGGCCAGACAAACCTCAGAACCTACTGGACACAAAACCCATCTTCCCGTCCCCTTCAGTCACAGGGGAACTCTGCACCGCCCTCCCCCACACTCTCAGCTGTGGGCCCAGGGGTGGGGACACTGTTCAGTCTGTCTGGTGATGCCCACCTTCCCCTCGGGGGTCAGGTCACGGCTGAAGGTGCCCTCGTATAGAGAGTCGTCTTCCGAGAGGAGGATGCCGGGGCCCTGGGGAAGACAGGGGAGGGTGCATCAAGACTGGGGAGGGGACATCCAGGGGACCCCAAAGACACCTTCACCCCTGGGCTGCTCAGAGCCAGCCTGAGCATCTCCTTTCTGGGTGCCCTCTTCACCCTGGGGGTCCCCGCACTTCCCTGTCACTGCCCCAGGGTCACACTGACCCCTTTGGCTTCTATTTGTCATTTGCACATTAGGGACAATGACTTCCACCTCTGAGGCTCCCTGAGGATCCCACAGGATGGTGGGACCTGGGACATGGGATTGTCACTGCACATACCCTTCCTGATGTCTGGGGGAGTCTACAGAAATACTCTGCCTGAGTTGCTTTGGGGAAACTGAGGCTGTCAGGAGCTGACATTGGGCAAGGCCAGGGTAAGTGGCTGGCAGAGCTGGGTCCCTGCCCTGTCTTCCCATCACCCAGGAGCTGGGAAGTACAGGACACACTCAGGTCCCCCACTCACCACCATCTTGTCGGCCTGGAAAGTGCCCTGGTAACAGACTCCCGCCTGCGTGACAACGACGCCTGGGCCATGGCGCTGGTCAGTCTGCCACATGCCGATGTAACGCTCACCCCTGGGGGACAGGATGGGGGTCAGAACTGTCGCCTGGCCAAGGAAGCAAGGAATTGGCTGGGCAAGGGTGTCTGGAGGACAGCAGGAGGGGACGTGAGTCCCATGTGACAGATCTGCGGGGGTAGACCCAGACAATGAGGTTGCAGGGGAGCAGGGAGAGGCTGCAGGGCACAGTGCGCTGAGGCGTCACCTGTTGCTGTCCTCCTGGATTCCGTAGCCACTCCTCTGGTCCTTCTCCCAGTGGCCTGTGTACCGGAAGGGCCGGGCAGCCTGTGGCGCACTGTCCAGGACCCCAAACCCATGGCGCAGGCCGGCCTGGAAGTAGCCCTTGTACACCTCCACCGAGCCATACCTAGAGGGGTCACAGATGGCTGGCCTCATGCCCAGGGTGCCTAAGGACACACCTGCCCCCACCCCATGGAGGGAGGGCCACTTACTCACAGATGCCGTAGCCGGACATGCGGCCCTCCTCCCAGTGGCACTTGTAGCAGTCAAATGTGTCCTCGGTGGCCTTGGGAACCAGGTATATGCCGAAGCTGATGCATGAGGAGCCTGGTGGTCAGTGCCCACCCTGTCCCCATGAGGCCCGGCCCTCAGCTGTGTCCGTGTGCCTGGGACCCTCCTGCCCCACCCCCGCCCTCCAGCTGGTGCCCCTTTGTTCAGGGGTGGACCTGTCTCTCCAGCCTCTCTGCTCCTGCTCAGAGTTCAGACACAGCCTCTGGGGTCCCACCACATGCAGCCCGGGTTCTCTCCGCCAGCCTTACCCATGCTCCAGCCCCCAGCGGAAATTCCCCACGTGATTCCGCCCATCCGGCCACTTCAAGGTCCCCCTGGAACGCAGTGGGTGATGCCCCCAGCTGTCAGACCACCAGACCCAGCCCGCCATAGCCTCAGGCTTCCATGAGGTCCTCCCCTCACCCCCCGGAACCCTCTCTGCACCAGCAGCCCCATTGGGCACTCACCACACCCCGTGGGCAACCCAGAAACTCTAGATTTCGTCTGCCCTCTGACCACGCGGAAGCTCAGAGCTGAACTTCAGCTAGAGCCAGATCCTGGCTCATGAGTGTACCCCCGCTCTTGGGATGAGGTGCCATTCTCTGGTCTTTCAGCACGTACCCCCAGAACCCCCTCAAAGTAGGCAAGACCTTAAAAACAGGACATCCTTGAAGCATAACCCTGTGAGTCCCTTCTGCTCTGAGCCACCTTTCCCAGCTATAGCGGGGCCATGTATCCTTCAGACTGTCCTGCCTGAAGCCACACAGAACTGTGACTGCACTGGGCTCACCCAGTAACCTATCCTGGGACCTAGGACAAATCCAGTCTCTGGGCCTCAGTTTCCCCACCTTTACAAGAGGTGAGAACCCTGCCTCAAGGGACCCCTCCAACACCACCGCAAAGTGAGAACTGTTCTGCTAGGGGCATGGTGGTGCCCGCCTGTACACTCAGCTCTTGTGAGGCTGAGGCAGGAGGATCCTATGAGTTCAAGGTCAGCCTCTGCCACACAGATTCTACCCCACTCCACTGCCCAGCTACTACTCACTTGCCATGGGGCTTGCCTGAGCGCCACTCGCCCTCGTAGGTGGCCCGACAGAGGCGGCCCTCGGCACAGAAGGTATAGGCCACAGAGCGGCAGGCTGGGGGCTCAGAGGGTGCCAGGCCGGCTCCCAGCACTGGGAAATCCTTCTTCCCACGCAGGGCCTGGCACACAGCCTGGCTCACTTTCCTCTGCCACACCGCCTATGGGGATACAGGGCGGCTCACTGCTCTGCCCAAGACGCCGGGTCCCCCTGCCCAAGGACCCCGACTGCACACTCACCCGGCCCAGGGAGTCCCTGGCCCTCAAGGAGAGTTCCTCTTCGGGAGTTAGGACACAGAATGTGCACCTGGAGATGGAGGTAGCTGGCTGGCCCCAGTGCATGTGCAGTGGGCAGCAGGGCCTAGGGGCTCCCAGGGCAAGTACAGGGGCTGAGGGGTGGAGGGAAGGCAGGGCAGCTGGGCTGGGGCTCACCTGTCCTGCCCGGGGTGCACCCACACCAGCCTCAGATCAAAGGAGTGGACACTGGGGCCCTGCAGGAGGACAGCAAATTTGCCTGGCCCAGGCCTGCTGCCTGCTCCACCCACCCTACCCCAGCCAGCCCGGCACCCCCAGCCCCGTGGCCACCAGAGGAGTCTGCAGGCACTGGAGCCTCGAGCCTCCCAGCCCAAGAGAAACTGCCTCAGCTCTTTGAAATCTGCTCAGCCATGCTCTCCCCCCTCCTGGCTCTCTGAATTCCTCCTTGCACCCTCCTGCTCTAAGCCGGGATCCCTCCACCCAGAAGGCTACCCTGCTCTGAGCCAGATGGGAGGGAGGTCCCTTCCTGTGGGGACAGTCTGTGTACAACCTTGGGCTTAGCCCAGCTAGGTCACCCATGGCTCTGTGGCCAGCAGGGAGGGGCTCAAGGCCCAGGCCTATGGACACAGGCCAGCAGCAGAGACAACAGCCTGTGTACAGGTCCAGGGTGGGCAGCCTGGCACAGGTAAGGGCTCCACCCCGGGGTTGGTGTGAAACTCAGAGCGCGTCAGCCCTCACCTGCAGCAGCACCAGGGTGTCATCGAAGAGCAGCACACGCTCAGCCTGCAGGGGTGTGGCCCTCACAGGGATGTCCTGGCTGTCCTGCAGGAGGCGGTGAGCCGGGGTGCAGAGCATGTCCTGGGGGATACAGGCTCAGGCAGGCCCACACAGATGCTGCGCTCCCAGACACCTCCAGGGGGACCGCAGGTCTGTGACAGCCACCAGGTGACACCTCTGTGTCCCTCTGCACTGCCCTCAGCTCTGCAGTCCCTCCCTCCACTCAGACCTGCCAAGTCCTCTCAGGACACGGGACTTTCTCTAGGGCAGGGTGTGACATTCTGGGTGGTGACACAGGGGTGCTTGGTGACCCCACCCCTGGAGAGAATCCAATGTGCAGTTTTTTGCCATACTAAGGATGGGGAGGGCTTGGTTTTTGCAAGACAGGGTCTCACCGTGCAGTTCAGCCTAGCCTTAAACTCACTATGTAGCCCAGCCTGGCCTTGAACGGCCCATGAGCCACCTGCCTTGGCCTCCGGGGTACTGGGGTTACAGGTGTGGGCCGCCACCTCTAGCTTCCACACTGCTTTGCCCCAGGCCAAGGCTGGCTCACGAGCTACTCAGTAGATGGATGAGGGTGAGCAGCAGCCATCTGGTTCAGCCTCCAATTCTTCATCCGACCAAGGAAACCAAAGCAGGGAGCATCCAGCGAGCAGTTCAAGCTGCCCCCGGTGGGTCCCCTGGCATGGCCACTCCTCTGGCTCCAGACTCACCTTTAGGTGGTTTCTCAGGCTGTGCCCCAGGGCCTGGGTGGCTGCAGCCTGGTCCAGCTCTTGCCCAAGGAAGGACTGCAGGTTCCCATGGAGGGTGATGGCATTCATGACCAGCTCCCAGGCAGGGTGGCTCTGTGAGGGCCAGGATAGACTGAGGGTTCAGGGAGCTTGGAGCACCCAAAGCGAGATTCTACATCTGCCTCCTGGATCTTTGGTAGGGCTGGGTCCCCCGAACCTGGACCCCACCTTTCCCCTCCCTCAATGCTTGCTCCTTCCACAGGTGTCTGGTACCTACCTCTCCGAGGGTGCCCCTGAGGCGCAACAGGAGGGGCACACACTGCTGCAGGTGCTGTGCCAGTGGTTGGTGCAGGGCCTGGCCCAGCAGGGCATCCACTGGGCCCTCGAAGCTCACACCAGACAGGTGCTTCTGCAGCAGCCTGCTCTGTATCTGCCAGTATTCTCTGTGGAGAGGGAGGGGCATGCACCCGGTTACCCCCATACTGCCTGTCATGCCCACCTATTGCCCCACCTGAAGTACCTCAGCTGCCCACCTGGATTTAGCAGCCATGGCTCAGAGTGGGCAGAGCGGGCTGATTACAGGGTCATGGTGAGCAGGAAGGGCCCTGCCACCAGGCTGGGGGACATCCTCACTGGGCCTTGCCTCCCTCTTCTCAGTGGGGATCAGCCCAGAGGATGCTTTGCAACTATGATCCTGTTGCTCTGGGGGCAAGGTTCCCCCAGGCCTGGCTCTTTGCCTGTATCCCCCACACATGGGGTCCCTGCCGAAGCCCCTGCTCACCTGTTCCTCTTTGCCACCTGCTGGAAGACCTGCACCACCACGCAGCTTGTGTAGGACTCGATGTACCTATGGCACAGTGCTCAGCTCCAAACCTAAGCCTCTGCCCTGCTGGGGGTCCCAGACTCCCTCACTGAGCAGTGGGGGCACCATCAAGTTGTGACACAAGTAACTTGTGTTCTTTCCTCAAGAGGCCCCGAGGCTCAGGCCTGGATGTCCAAGGCCATCCACTAGGTGACACCCACACCCCATGAGCCCCCCCCCCCCGCCCACCCTGGCCATCTTACTCCAGGTGGACCTGCAGGATGCGGTCAGCACTGCCCAGCAGCACCAGGGACTCCAGGCCAGTGGTGCGTGGCTGGCACAGCCTCCTCTGCAGGGACTGCAGGCTCTGCTTGGTCAGTTGCCACAGCTGCTGGGAGCTCCTGTGCAGCTGCTGCAAGAGCTGCAGGCACTCTTGACCCCTGGGCTCTGAGGGCTCTGGGTCTGCACAGGGCAAGGCCACATGGTGAGTGGGACAGGGCCTGAGGCCACAGCAGGATCCCACGTCCCTGGGGCCAGGGTCCCGCCTGGAGCAGTGAGCAGTGTCCCTAGATGCTGGTACAGGCACCGCCTGTAACTAGGGGCAACCCTGACCAGTGACTCTGGCCTCGCTGCTCATCCAGAGCTCTGAGTGTGTAGCACCGCTACAGTCCTCAGCTGTCTCCACGTGGTAGATGCAGAGGTGCCCTGAAAGGACAGCACCTCCCCAAGGTCACTCCGCAAAGCCCAGGCATGCCGCCTCCTAATCAGTGCTCTCCCAGCACCCCTGGGGCCCCGGGTGACAGGAGCCCCCACCAGGCCTGCACCGAGAGAGGAGGGACTCCTGCCCCACATCGGGCAGACCAGGCAGCGGCACAGGCTCGCCGCCTGGCCCCTCAAGAGCAGCCAGCAGCTGTGGGCCACAACACCCAGTGCCTGTGTTGCCCCTCGACACAGATGCCTGCAGCCCAGAGGGCCAGCAAGGTGGCACTCAGTCCCAGGGGGTGCTCCTCCTTCCCTGCCCACCCCCAGGAGCCTGGACTCACCGACCAAGAGCAAAGGCTGCAGGATGTGGGTGTTGATGAGGGCCAACTTGGCCAGGAAGGCATCCTCTAGCTTCAGCAGGGCCTCCTCTGGGCTGCACATGGTGACTTCTGGGTAGGTACAGATCAGAGCGAGCCCAGAAGCAAGGCCCATGGCCACCCACTACAGGACAGAGCAGGCCAGCAGAGAAGGGTGGAGTTGCTGAGAGGGCTCAACTGCCCAGGGAAGCAGCCCTCTGTCCCTGCAAGTACCTGTTCGTCCCTGCTCAGACACGGCTCTGGCTCCTGAGTGTCCCAGGAACGGCCCGTGTAGGGTGTCCTAGACACCTCACCATCATTCAGGACCTGCAGTCTCTGGAGACAGGGGCTGCTGTCAGAGGCACCAGTCCTGTCCTCAAGACCCCAGAATCAGTCACCCAACAGGGTCATGTAAGCCAGAAGAGGTTGGAAAGAAGCAGGGGATTTCTGAGGCTTCGAGTTGTGGAGCCTTGGAGGATGCAGCGCAGGTGGGAGAGCAAGCCAGACCCAGCCTCTAGACTCTGCCCACAGAGGCCTGGCTTTGCCTCTGTCCACCATGGAGAGCCACACGGGCCTCAGCAAGGTCGCAGTGGACCCAAACTCAGAGTTCACTAAACCTCCTGGAGGAGATGGTGAGGGCAGTGAGGAGGGTGAAGGGCCAGGAGCCCACCACTCCCAGCCAGGCTAGGCTGCCCCAAGAAGTGGGGTGCTGCCAGAGAAAAACAGGACTTTCTGCCCCTGCCAGAGGGGCTTCCGAGCATGTAGAGATCAACAGAAATTGAGCGTCCCAGCTGAAGGAAGGACAGTGAGATCCTGAGTGACCCAGGCAGAAACCTCTCCATGGAGCATGTGAAGGTTTTTGAGCTCGAGCCCCTGGGGCTGCATTTCTCCCTGATCCTGCCTGAAGCCCTGGAATTAGCTGGCCTGGGTGGGGGCATTAGCAGGGCAGCTGAGGATGGCCATATGCCAAGTAGAAGGGCTCCCCCCAAAGATGCCACAGGCCTCCTTCAGAGGAACCCAGTGTTCCCAGATGGTGGAACCCTGGCCTGGGGCCCGGCATTCATTCCCACCCCACCTTTCCTGTCCCTGTAGCTGCTCCGGGAAGGAAGGGGAAGCAGCTGGACACTCGGCCACCGCTGCCTCCACTGACCCCAGACCCTGTCACATAGGTTCCAAGGTGTGAGGTGGGCAGAGTGGCTAGGTTCTCACAGACCCTCAGCTGTGTCTCCAGAAATGGGGCAGGAGAAGCCTGTCCTTATGGCCTTAAACTACCCCAGGTCATCCCATGCTTCCCAGGACAGAACCCTGGTGTCCCTCCACCCCCTAGCTTAGGACTGGCCCTGCTCCTCTCTGAACCTGCCACCATCTCATGCAATGGAGGTGCAACTGACCACAGCTTTCCAAACTACTGCAGTTGCCCCTCAAAAAGCCACCTGGGGAGGGAGCTTCTGGGGGTGGGACCTGGCTCTCCAGCCCCGTGACGTGCTCAGCAGAGTCCTGCAGGCATGGTTGGCAGCCGCCCATGCTGGAGTCCTTCTGGGTTGCCAGCCCCTTGGGATCCCCACCCGGAGAGTGGCCCCCAGCCCACCCGCTCTGGTCCAGGGCATGATCTCCTCATCTGTTCTCCCTCTTCGTCCAGTTCAAAGTTCCCTTAAGTGGCAAGCCAAGCATGATGCACAGATGGGGAAACTGAGTCCCAGGAAGGGTGGGAGGTCCCCGGATGCTCTCTGCCAAGTCTTTACAAGCCCAGACCTAGGCTCCTGGCCTTGCCACACATGGTTCTCAGGGAGGCTGGGTGACTCACCCCAGCAGCACACAGCAAGTTCCCGGCAGGAACTGGCCTCCTCAAGCTCCCCAGCCTGGCTCGGTGTCACAGTGGGGTGGGGTGCAGCCAGTTCTGGCATGCACAGGTAGGTCACCTCTGTCCCTGTGGCCGTCGGCTGCAGCTGGACCTGCTTTGTCTTCCACAAGCCCACTCTGCCCACAGCAGGCGACTGCTGAGGTCTTCGGGCCTCCCGCTTCCCTGCCGGCCCTCTGCCTAGCCGCACCCTGTCCCAGCCCTCACTCTGGTATTTCCTGGTCTAGACAGGCAGGGGCCTCCTGAGCTTCCTGGCTGGCCCCTTCAACCAGCACACAAGGAGACAGTGAAGCTGTTACGTCTCTGTCTCCATCTCTACGCACCGCCTCCACCCTGTTCTGCCCCTGGCACCTCCTGACTCTGCAGTCACCTGCATCTCCCAAACACTTGACTCTGTCAAGCGTGCATTCGTGCTGCCCCATATGACCACACCACCGTCCTGCTTCTTGGTCTGTCTAGCCCTTCTGCCTGTGCAGCCCAGGGGCTGTCCCCAAGCTGCCTTGCACCCACACAGGGCAACCATGGGGAGGGGAGGACAACACAGGGACAGAACCCAACAGCCCCAGCAAGTGCACCAAGGGACCAAGCACAGTGCAGCAGGTGGGGAGGGGCAGCGGTCCCGCCCCTTACCTGCACAGCTGATGCTGGGTGCTGGGGGCAGCTCCTCACTGAGCCACTGGTTCTGGTGTCACTGCCCGCCCTGGTGCCATCGTGGGCAGGGCCTCCAAGGAGGCGGAGTGAAGCACCCAGGGTCACTGCCTGGGCTCCCTGCCACCGCCCAGGTCCCAAGGCTGCTAGAATCCCATGCAGGGCAGACTGGGGCCTGGGGCTTAACCCTGCACCCCAGGTGGGCCCCATGGCCATACCCTGGCCTGGGGTACAGCCCTGTGACCTTGCTGACCTCTGTGAATATCCAGGGCCAGTGGTTTCCTGGAACCCATAGCTCAGAGAAGGGTTGGCCCTGTAGGCCCTCAGGCTGAGTGTCCTTGGGTGTGACCTTGGGGATTGCCCCTGCCCCCACTGCCCAAGTCTGCATTTCCTGCCAGGGCCTGAGACCTTGGAAAGCTGGGGGAAGAGCAAGCCGGATGGAGGTCTGGAGGGGAGGAGGGACCACATCTATAACAAAGGAGCCCCCTGTTGCTGCCAGATCCCCTCTGGCCACCCAGCCAGTCAGCCAGCCCAGTCACCCAGCTTTCTGGTGTGACCGAGGCTCGCCACACAGCGGCCCTGCAGAGCCGCTTCTGTGACTCTCTGGCTGAGCCTGCAGGGCCAAGGCCAGGGCTCCAGAAGTGGCTGTGGAGGGGCAGGAAGGGTGCCCTGGTAGCCCTGCTCCCCTGAGAACCGGGCCAGGGTCACAGGGCAGAGCTTAGGCTCCGGACCTGCCCCTCCCCTCTCTGGCCTCAGCTTCCACATCTGTGCACATCTGGGGGCCTCAAGGAGGACCAGATAGGCCCATCTCTCCCAGCTTCCTCCACAGAGGCCAAGCTTCCAGGGGTCAATGGAACCCGGGGCAGGAGCCCCCAATCTCCACACTGCCTCTCGGCCCAGCTTTGTGATCTTCCAGGTGGGGCTCGCCTGCCCTGCCTCTCCTTGCCCCTCCTTGGCCTATGTGGGTTCCCTGCAGCTCAGGGTCCACACACACTGGGGCCGTGCATGCTCGGGCAGCCCCATGGACCCCTCGGCTCCAGAGCCTGCTGGCCGGGCCCCCGCGCTGCACTGTGGAGTCCTGTTCCCAGCTCTGCAGGCTGACCTTCTCTGCTCTGAGGGTGCTCTGTGTACTGATGGTCTGTGATTCTGGGAACACCAGGACTCCACATGTGTTCCTGTGGACAGTGGGCTGTGTGTGCAAGCCAGCACACGCTCACACACACACAGGCCTTACCTTAGCTATTCTGGGCCAGGCCTGGGGCCAGCGAGTTTGGCTGGATCCAGATCCCAGCAGGTCTCAGTGGTTGTGTCATAGGTCGGGCTGTCCCCACCCCCGCTCTGGCAGTTCCTGCCACTCTGGATCCCAGACTGGCTGTGCCCAGATGATCCCCACTCCCTCCTCATAGCTCTGAGCTAAACCTTCATCCCCAGGGCTTCCAGCCTGAGAGGGAGCTGCTCACAGGGTCCCTAGCCACCGCCCACTGCCTGGCCAACAGCTCCAACCCAGAGGCCCTGGAGGCCAGGCTGGTCCCTACGGAAACTCTCAGGAGCTAAGAATAGGGTTGGAGGGATAAGCAGCATCCTGCAGGAAGCGCTCACACCAGCGCTCAGAAGCAGCCAGTGCTCCCTGCCCCAGGCCTGCTGGACCCAGCTGGGGTTGGTGGGGGCCTGGGGGGAGCTCAGCATCATGACTAAGCGGAGACCAGGAGCCTGGAGACCAGAGCAGCAGCAGGAGGCCAAAGGCCACACTTCCTGGGTGGCCTCAAGTGAGGCACAGCACCTCTCCTGGCTGAGTCCCTCAGGAAGAAATGGGAGAGAAAAGTTGTACCAAGGGCTGAAAACCCCTCAAAGGTACAAAAAACCTTATGTTTCAGGATGTATTTATTTGTTTCTTTGTTTTTTTCTTTTTAGCTTTGCAAGTAGGACCTTTTGTTACATCTAATCAGAAAACTGTTTTTAACTTCAGAGAAGGATTTTTAAATTGAGGAGAAAGAAGAAACTAAAAGATATTGTTTTTACAATCTTAAAATCAGTTGTGCATAAAGTTTGGAGGGTGAATATCAAAATGTATTTCTACATGTAGTTGTTCAATAACCAGAATGGAATTGGTTTTGGGGGGCTGGGGAGATCGCTTAAGGGCCTGCCTGGCAAGAAAACAAAGAAAAAGGTTTCTGTTTTTGTGGTACGGGGCATTGAACTCAGGACCTTGTACTTGCCAGGCAAGTACTTATTCTACTGAGCTATCTCCCCGACCCTAAAGTTGTTTTTTTTTTTTGAGACAGGATCTCAGTTATGTAGCTCAAGCTGTCCTTGAACACCTAGTGATCCTCCTGCCTCAGCCTCCTGAGTGCTGGGGTCACACGTGTGAACCATCACATCTGCTGCTTTTTTTTTTTTTTTTTTTGCGGAACCGGGGTTTGAACTCAGGCCCTTGTACTTGCCAGGCAAGTACTTATTCTACTGAGCCATTTCCTGGCCCCACATCTAGTGCTTTAACAACTTTAGAAGTTACAAGAGGACAAAGAGAGGGGGAGGGAGGGAAAGCCATGAAGAGGAGACCGCTCCACACGAGCATCATCACCCCACAAGCAGTGCGATTGTGACGTACCGCAACGTGGATCAGTCAAAATAAAAATTACAAGAGAAGTTATGAAGAATAAAGCTGCATGTTTTTTGTTTTTTGGGTTTTTTCCCACAAAAATCATCTTTACTTCATCTTTTAAAAATGTATTTAGTACAGGGTCTCCCTACACAGATCAGACTTGTAGTGATCCTCTTGTTTTCAGCCTCCCCAGTCCTGGGATCACAGGCTGCGCCACCATGCCCAGTCTCAATCGCAGTCTCGGCGCCCCTCTGGGGCAGGGCTGGCAGGGCACGCTGGCACCCGGGCATGCCAGGGATCGAACCCGGTCCCTGCATCTCTTTACTTCCGGTGTCACACCTAAGGCAGTATGTTGCATGCACAACTATCACTTACACTGATAGCATGTGTTTTGCTTTCCTGTCTTCTTTGGTGGGACATACTCGAC